GTCTTTGGACCTGGCCATGCCGGTGCGTGCTCTGCCTCGTCCCTGAGAGTCCCGGGCAGCCGTCTGGGGTGGGCAGGTTTCCATGTCAACCCCTTGTTGGGGGTCAGGGATGTCTCTCTCTGTTCCTTGAGCAGCTGCAAACTTAGAAGGACTTGAGTCCAACCGGGCCACGCCATGACTAGGGGCTGCCCTCGCACGCTGTTTCTCCTTCAAAGGTAGGAGGCGCTTCTCCACCAGCTGCGGGAGGAAACGGGGCACTTACTGGCGCTGCCCCAGGTGTGAGCAGGGCCCAGGGTGGTGGAGACCAGGGCACTTGGGCGGGAGGCAGGGAAGCCTGAGGCAGCTGGGCTTTATGTCAAAGAGAGAGGGTGTGGCTCTGCTGGGCGTCCCCTTGGGCCTCACTGCAGCTTGCATCCTGACTCCTCTCCCTGGCTCCTCTCCATCCCACTCCCTCTGAACCTGCCTCTTCCCACCCTAGAGTGGCTCCTCAAGAAGCCGAGCATCCCCAGCAGGGTGGGGTTAGACATTCAGGTGGGCGTTGTGTGCTGGGTCCCTCCTGCCCCTCCTGCTCACCTGGGCAAGGGTGAGTCCTTCCTCCTGCTCCAGCTCCTGGCTTAGGGCCAAGAAATCCATCTGTGGATCTGGGGAAAGCAATTCTTCCAGGAATCGGGGGTGAATGACGGCCTCCACCTGGGAACAGAAGGAAGAAGGCGTGAGCTTCCTGCGCAGGAAGTAACCTGGAGGCAAGGACACCTGGAGGAGATGCAGAAAGCAGCGAGCGCCCCGTACCCACCTTCCTGGGGCTGTCTCATATCATGGCAACCTCCAGCTACACACACAGACCACAGACCTGGTAGCATACACACATACAGACAGAGACACACAAAGCACACACAGACACACAAACAGACCCACATATGACACAGGAAAAGACACAGACACAGGTAACCTACACACTCCACACTCACACCCACAAAGACACACAGTAACAAATCACAGATACAAACACACAGCAACACACAGACACACACAATCACATACACAGACACTCAAATCCATGGAAATACACACGCTGCTGAATAGCTAAGGAACAGAGCTTAATTCCAAGGACCTGGGAGTGCCACCCCCCGGAATCCTGCAGACCCCAGCACTCCAGGCCAGCCCACCTTGGTGACGAAGTCTTTCTGGGAACACAGCTTGTCAATGTAGCTCAGGAGGCCTGGGTCTGGGGGCGTCCAATCTTCTTCCTGTGGCTGCTCCACTTCGCCCTCTTCCCGTTGTTTTTCGGGCTGCCCCGTGGCCCCGAGGGGAGGCCCCAGCAGCTCCTCCATGATGTCCACATACTCCTGCACCACTTCTGGGGGGATCTCCTCGGGGACTTTGGTCTCTGCTGGCCTCTGGGGCCTGGGTGGTGGCAGGCGGGCCTTGGTCTCTGCTCGCCGGTGGGGCCTGGGTGGTGGCAGGCGGGCCTTGGTCTCCGCTGGCCTCTGGGGCCTGGGTGGTGGCAGGGAAGCAGTCGGGGCCTTGGGGCCGGCCTTGCTGGGAAGGTACACTGAGGCAGAGAAGGAGGAGGCCAGGCGTGGTGAGGGCCGCTCCTCCTGCCTGCACCACACAGGGGAGGGCAGGGCTTGGGGATGTGAAGTGGGTCCCGGCTGGGTCAGGACCACCTGAACCACAGCGCCCCCAGAGGAGACGCGCAGGAGGGGCACATCTGAGACAGCATCGCTTGGGAGGAAGTTTGGAGCCACCAATATGCCATGTACTCTCCCCGCTAATCCCTGCTTCCTGGGCAGAGCATACGTGGAGTTTTGGATGGGCGAGGGGAGAGAGTAGCTAGGAAACTTGACCTGGTCAATACCCAACATATGCTCCCGGAAGCTGTCCTGTTGGAGGGAGCAAATCCCCCTCTTGAAGGGAAGCATGGGGTGTGAGGACAGTGGTCTCCCTTGGCCCCTTTGGCCTTTGCCACGGCTCCTGTGGAAATGTGGGAAGCTGTACCTGGCTGCTTGGCCACCTCAGGGGCTGGGGGTCCTTGAGGTTCAAGCCTCGGTGGGGCTGGAGGAGGCAGGCACTGGGGCCCCTTCATCAGTTGCGATTTCTGAATCTGCATCTCCTCCTCAGCCTCGAACTCCAGGAACCTGGGGGTGAAGGAGGCCCAGGCTGTGCGGAGAGGGTCCAGGCTCCCTGTCCCCAGGACCAGGCAGCGGCCGAGGGCAGGGATGGGAGGCAATGCCTCGGGTGGGCTGTCCAGGCCCTCACTGGGTCTCATCCCCCAGTCCCAGGAGGGAGCTGCTCCCAGAGTTCTGGGCTCACCCTCCCTCACCCGGCCCCTGCAGAGCCCATGGCATCAAAGGGGCTTCCTGACTCAAGTCAGGGCCACGAGGTCCAGGAGGGTCCCGGGGGACTCCTCCTCCAGCTTTCAGCTGCCCAGGTGTGGGGTTGATGGCAGACGGCGTCAGGGATGATGCCCAGATGCAGGAGTCCTGAGGCTGGGACTGTGGGTCCCTGAAAGATAACCCAGGGGCACGAGGCCTGGGAGACCCCTGGTCGGGAGGAAGCAAAAGCTGAGCCCGGAGGACAGGGCCCCTTTCCCCTGAGGCTGAGGTCTGTCTGTCTGCACGGAGAGCACTGCCCAGGAGCAAAGGCAGTCAGGCCAGAGATGGGTCTCATGGTGTCCCGGATACAGGTCTCCCCTGCCCAAACTCCCTGGCCAGGCTGGGATGGCAGAAAACCGACTTCTGGCCACTGCTGTGAGGAGCCTGCACCCCACTCTGTCTATAGTCACTAGCGCCCCTTCTCCCCATCCCCACAGCTGGAGGTGACCCACTTTGGGTTGCGACGCTGGCTGCTCCCGCCATGACCTCCAGTGTCAAGGCAGGGGTTGGCCCAGGCCAGGCAGGGGGTGCTTCCCAAAAGGGCAGGACAGAGACCCCAGAACACTCTAGGTGGCAGGAGCAGCTTCCTGAGGGAGCCAGGGGCCCAGAGCATCCTGTGTTTGTCCACACCCTCCTCATGCTCCATGCTGAGAAGCCACCACGGCCACCAGGCCTCTGTCATTCAGTCTCACTCTGCCCCGCGGGCCCTGCCCCCAGGACCCCAGACTCACTTTTCCGCCATCTCGTAGAAGATCATCCGGTCAAAGTTGCTCGTGTGCTGCCATTCGAGCACGGCCCGCCACAGTCCCTCCTCCAGCGTCATGGTGGGCTTCCGCCGGGCCAGGGATCGGAGAACTGGGCTGTAAACCAGTGCAGTCAGCCCCAGTCTATAAGCCCACCCTTCATCCCGAGCCCACCTGGTCCCAACACCTGGCCCCTGTCCTCCCCACACCTGTCCTGCCATCTGTCCATGTCCTGTTCTCCCCCATGTGGGCTCCTCAGGCCCCAGGACATGCCCCCAAGATCGAACATCAACACAAGCTATGGAGTGGCCTCTCCGACTGCCCCTCAAGTCCTTGGTGTTATGATGTTGAGAAGTGAACTCAGTACTATGGGTGGAACATATGTGTCCCCAACATTCCTGTGCTGAAGCCCTCAGCGCCGGTGTGTCGGTATTTGGAGGCAGTCATGGTTAGAGCAGGTCATGAGCGTGGGTCCCAGTCATGGAATCCTGATAAGGGCAGGAGGAGACGCCAGGGCTTTTCCTCTCAGCCACCAGAGGACACAGCCGAGGCAGCTCTCTCCAGCCAGGAAGAGGGCCCTGACCAGACACCCAATCTGCTGTCACCTTGATCTGGGATTTCTGGCCTCTGGAACTGGGAGACATGAACGTGTCTTGATAAAGCACCCAGTCTATGGGATTTGTTACAGCCGAGCCTGAGCTGACTGAGATAGCATGAGCCTGAGCTGACTGAGACAGCGTGCACACAGAATGACCTGGGAGTGAGGGTTAAAGTGCAGGTTCCTGGGCCTCAGGACTGAGATTTAACCAGCTTCCTGGGGACTCTGGAGCAAAGCAGCCCCTGGGGATGCAGCTTCAGGGTCCTGAAGCATGAGGAGCAGGAGCACACGTCCAGAACCAAAGCAGAGCAGTGTCAAGCTCACTGCAAGCAGCCAGGTACAGCTTCCCACATTCCCACAGGAGCCATGGCAAAGGCCTGTGAGCCTGGGGCAGCTCCACCTCAAGAATCAGGGTCCCCAGTGCACCGGGACTCTGCTCCAAGGGGGAATGCAACCAGTTCCAGGGTGCAGGGGCAGTGAGGTTGTTGGGGATGAAGATGGGGCCGCCTTCCACCTACACCCCAGGCAGGGGACTTCCCTAGGGGAACGGTTAGTGTGTTGCACGGTGGATGTGCTCAAGCTCCCGTTTGCTCATCAGTGGGAAACACAGGGTGACAGAGGCGCCACAGGGTGGAGAGAGGCAGGGACTGGGAATGAAACCACAAACTCTCCCGGATGCTGACATTGCTGCCTCACAGTCACCACAGTCCACGGCCCTGGGCTGCTGGGCTCGTGGTGCACTCAGAGCTATCACTGGAGCCTGTGGCTTTGGGGAGTTCTCTCCTAGATGGCCTAGTCCTGATAATGACAGTAATGGGGACAGTAATCATAATTGCTATCATGTAATATGTCATAGCATGTGCCAGACACTGTGTTATACATGTCATATGTGAGTTCAAGTCATCTCTTCGCCATCCTCTGAATGAAGCATCATTGTCCCTTTTTCTAGGAGGGATTGAGGGTGAAGATGCAAATACCTGCCCAGCATCGACCCTGGTGCGGGGCCCAAGCCCATCCCCTTGTGCAGGCTCCACCCCCGCAGTGCTGGACCTGGGCAGAACTGCGGGCATGTGCCAGGTTCCCGCCGGGCCCTGCAGCTCCTCCCCCCAGCCCCATGTGATGTGCTCCTGGCCATCAATACTGGGTTCAAGGGGAGGCACTGGGGTGTGTACTCAAAGACCTAAACCCAAACCGTCGCTCACGTCACACCAGGAACCCTCTCTGACCTAGGTCTTCTGTAAACATTGTTGTGAAAATTACTGAAAGTAAAGATTGGCTGGACTCACGGGACAGTGACGGGACAGTGACGGGCAGTTGAGGCCCCTGACAGTCTGTCCTGAGCCACAGCCAGATTAATGTTGTTGAAAATGTACCTTCCCATAGTGCAACCCATCACCCTCACAACCGCCCTGCAAGCTCCCCTGAACAGCGTGACCTCCTGTCCATTCAGCAGCCTCTTTACGTGTGAGCTGCAGGACAAGCTCTGGTGCCCCGAGGACACTCACATGAGGAAGCAGGAAAGTGCTTCGGTGTCAGGACTCTGGGGAAGGTGCCTCCGGGCCAGGGGCTTGTAGTGCTGCCAGAGTCGGAAGTTCTCATAGACACTCTTGGGATTACAGGAGTCGTCTGGTGGGGCCTTGGTCTGGGAGGGAGCCAGGCTGCCCTCTCCATGAGCCCCTTGTGGCCATGGCCCAGCGTGGGACACGATGGGGGGCATCTGGGCAGCCGGTGGTGGTGGTGGTGGAACAGGAAGGCCCTGGGACCAGCCTCCCTCAAAGGCCTGGGTGCCCCCAACCAGCTGGGCAGCCATAACAGGCACCACAGGAGCAGCTGCCAGGAGTAGGGGAGGTGGACACACGACACCTCCGCAGAGGGCGCTTGGAGCCTGCCAGACAAGGGGGTTCTGAGTTAGGACCAAGGTCTGTGCCTGAGGGGCCTTCACAGGCCCCATTTCTGTCCTCATCTGGACAAAGACATTAGAAGCCCCAGCCCCACTCGGGCCGTGGCCATCCTGTCCTGCCACCAGAGGTGTGCTGGGGAAGGCAGACAGCACCAGAGGGCCGCCGGGGGGAACCACTGCAGTCACGAGGGGTGGCCCGTGTGCTGGGCCAGGAGCGGGTGTGGTAAAGGGCAGAGCCGTGAACACAGACAGGGAGGCGCCAGGGTTCACGGTCACGCCCGGTCCCAGCACTGGGTATGCTGTGGAGACAAAGGAAAGAGATGAATGAGCTAGGGTCTCCTGGTCCTCACTAGTCACTGGGGAATCAGAGGGGAGTCCCAACAGCTGAGGGCATGTGACAGGGAAACTCTGCAGCTTGCAAGTGTCCCTGAGCGTGCATTGGATGCTCTGTTCCTCTACGGGAGTCGCTCCACTAGAGAGCCGGGCCCCGGTCACCAAGACTCCCTGACCCCTGTCTCCGAAGAAGCAACAGCCAAGCCTTTGCTGCCAGAGGGTCTCCCTCAGGTGTCCCTGGCAGACCCCATCAGCCTCACAGGCATCTCCCAAGCCATGGGTCAGGGATGAGTCTCAGCGGCTTGGTGGTCCTCAACATGCTCAGCAACAGGTGAGGGGCCTACCCCAGGGCAGTGCTCGGCACTGAGAAGGCCGGCAGGAAGCCAGAAGCTTCCAAATATTATGGCCACATCTCTTCAATCTTCCTTTTCCTGAAGCTCTTGTAAACCCCTGTCTTTCCTAGCTCAAACACAACAAAAGAAAACCACTGGATGGAAATCTTTCCCAAGCCAGCACCCTAGGAACCCTGAAGATAATCCATAACTCATCACGCCCAGCATGCAAGTGATTGTCCTGGTACAGGACACTGTGGCACAGTGTCCTGACACAGGACCTGGCACTTGCTGTCCTGTCCCCACAGCAAGTGCTAAATGGGGGTCAGATTCGGGCCACCCATTGCTCAGTGCTCAGTGGTCCCAGCTGCCACTCAGGAAGCTCTGTTCCCAGGGAGCAGGTCTGAGAGGCAGTGGTGGAGTCCCCTGAGATACTGTCACCGCACAGCCAGCAACAATTGCACATGATTAGAACTCAGCCAGCAATTGGTGAGCAGCAGGGCTATCAGGGGAGGTGCCCAGGGATTTTTGCAGCTGCTGGTCATGTTACAATAGGTAGTGGGACAAGGAGCATCTCTGATCCTTCTCCTTTGAGCTCCCAATAACTGACATAGTGACCAACCAAGAACCAGGGGTTCCCGGGCCACAGGCCAGGTAAGGCAAAGTTGTCTGGAACTCATCCCTGTTCACTACGACCTCATGCAGTCTCTAGTCAGGGGGTATAAGGAATACAGCACATGCACCTCATCATTCAAGACACACATCCTAACTTTAATAATAATAATAATAATAAAAGAACCATCTTCCTATTTGTACACTATTCTCCTTCCTCTACTGAAAAGGAAACCAGCCTTTCCAGACCCTTCCACTGAGAACCAGCAAGAATCCACACCTGTCCCCCATTCATGAGGCTGTATAAATGGAATAGGAGCAAATTCTTCATCTCCACAGTAACACAAAGTGCAGAGGACAGGCCATGAGCTAGTAGACAAGAGGAAGTGGGTCTGAAGACCTGAGCTTCCACAAAAGGGCGAACAATTCAGAACATCTCAGGAAGTCCAGGCCATATGTTACCTGAACTTCCCCATTTGTCCCCACCCCTGTTGGATCAAAGCCAACAGCTACCTCAACTGATGGAACAGCCAGCTCTGGGGCGGGAGCTGAGAGGCTCTGGGCTGTGGCAGTTACAGTAGCCCCCAGCCTCGCCCACCCAGAGGTTGTCATTACATGCTCTGTCACAGCCAACCCACCCAACAGTTTTCTGGCTGAGACCACTTCTCCCCACTCCTCCCTAAGATCTAGAAAACTCCAGCCCAAATCCCTCTGAACACTATGGAAGGGCACCTTCCAGGTGCCTGAAGACATGGCACAGGGCTCAGGTTTGCCCGTCATTCTCCCTGGGCCACCAGCACAACACGATCCCACCACTCTCTACAAACACACAATGACGTGACCTGTCCCCCTCTAGAAAGGATCAATCCATCCACTCCATCCTTTCCTCTACACGGTGTATTCCCCCAGACATCTTGATCCCTTGATCCACCTCTAAGGAGCCGTCCTCCCTAACCACAGACTCAGGGTGCCATGGCCATCCCCAGGTGTGACGTCCTTGGGGACATCCAGTGCTCCCTCCCTTTTCAACATCAGCCCTATCAGCTGTCCCCAGGGGCAGTTCAAATTTGAATTCCCAAGGAGTTGAGGCATGGCAGACTCGGATAATGCCCCCATCCCTATAGGCTCACCTCCATTTGAAGTCATCCCCTCAGGCTGAACACTGCCCACTGCTGTCTGGCAGTTTCCGCAATGAGAAAAGTCAAGGGTAGGACACAGAGAGTGACCTGGCTCAGCAGATGCTCCTGAGTCCAAGTGGAGCAGGGAAAATTTGAATGTAAATAGGTTTAGAACATAGGACCCCAGACATTCTGCAGAGGGGGAGGGGCAGTGGGCAGCTGGTAGGGGTGGGGGACATTCTGCGAAGGGCTCCAGCCACTAGGCAAGAACCTGAGTTTCCCTTCCAACTGGAAGGCAGCAACACAGATGGCGTGCACCTCTTTAGGCAACTTTTAAATTGTCCTTCTGACTCACAGCAAAACCTTCTACCTGATGTCCCCTTTACTTCCATTCTTTATGAACAGACCTACTTTTGTGCCAAGCAACCCATGCTCCTTCCCCCTTTGGCTCTTTCCCACTCTTGATGAATTTCAACAGGGGCCGCACTTCCTGAACAAAATTCAGAACACGTTTTCAGTCTGAGAAACACAGAAGTTCTCAGGAAGGCAAGGGGACTGGGTGTTTGAAATCAGGATGGTCTCAGCCCATCCAGGCTATTAGTTGGCCGTGTGCTCATCATTGTTTAGGAAGCAATCCTTGTGCCCCCGGGTCATGTATGTTGCTGGAATCTCTGTCCATACCAGCAGGCCAGCCTTACTTCCCATCCCCTTTCCTGGGAAGCCTCAGTCCAGGAAAGAGTGGCTATGCGACCTACAGTACCGAGACCAGAAATCCGTTCATTTTGTTTCCCAGCATATTGCGATGGTGTTAAATGTTTATTTTTTATCTTTTGAATGGTTTTAATTTAACCAAGCAATACTTTTGCATGGTTCCAAATTCAAACTGTGCACAGTGGAATAGGCAATGACCAGCCTTCCTCCCATCTTTTCTCCCTGGCCACCACGTTTGCTTTCCTGGAGGAAACAGGTGTTATCTGATTGTTTTTCATCTTTCCAGAGATACATTATGCAATCAAAAGCATAATGAAGTTATTTTTGCTGTCTAAAAATGCTTTCAGGTTTTGGGGGGTAAAAATTACTATATTAATATGTTCCAATGCTTTCCTGATATTTACAATGACTGCGTTTATCCTAGTAATGTGGCTTCTCTATTTCTGTAGGTAAATCCTAGAATAAGACATTGTACTGTTCCTTAAAATCACAACTATGCAAAAGAATACAGTGGCAGGATTTAGCAAGTATGAATAACAAATACCAAGTGGAATTTGAATTCAAGATAAAACAGTGAATTAGTTTTTATTATAATTGTGATCCATGTGATATTTATGAGTATACTTTTACAAAAAATCTGTTTTTCCTTTATCTGTGTTATTCACATTTCACCGGGATCTTGCACTTTATCTGGTAACTCTTTCCAAAAAAGTGCAACATATGAAGTGATTATTGTTAACCCTCCACTGTGAGAGTGAGAACTTGCAGTAAGGAGACTCAGATGTGAATCTTGGCTTCACCATAAAACACAACCATTGCAGAAAACAATAGCAGGCTGATTTGATGAGAAGAAGTCAGGAGTAGCCATTATACCCTTCTCAGCTTCCAGGTTTAGTGGCAGTATGCACAGTTGTAAGGGACAGAAGGGCAGAACACTGTCTTTTCTTTCCTAACATAAAGCAGCTTACAATTCCTAGAACTCTGGTTTCTCCAGGAGTTAGAAATCCACAACCCATGTCCATTCTGAGACAAGCCAGGATGCTATCCACCAACGTCCCATCCCCATTCCCATGCATCCCCTCGCATGTGTGAATCCTGGCTGGCCTCTCTCAGTTCACTGTTGGCCTCATCTTCTCCATACATTCTTGCTGTTTGGAATCCAGTGTCATCGTATGTGGCTCTCTGCGTGGGGATTATTGTAGCCTGTCTTTAAAAAAAAAACTTCATTCTCATTTTCACACTGAAATCCCTGTCTGCTTATCAGCATCACAATGACAGGAGACAGCACTCATGTTCTGTGTTGTGAACAAGGGGAGTGTTGGGAAACTGGTCAAAGGAGATGAGGAGTGAGTACTCAGAGCACAGCAACAAAATCTTCTGAGACACACCTCACTCCCTGCTGGGCAGGGTAATTTTGCACTGATGGGAGGGTGATGGGGATCCGGTGAGGGTGATCCGGCCTTCAGCCGGATCGGTGCACACCGTGAACATTCGCTGAAACACACCCTGTTGGCATTTACAAAGCATTTGCCCCTTTCGAAGACATTTGCATTCAAGAAGGCAGAGTTGCAGGAAAATGTAACAGGGGCCACACTGCAGGGGCAGGCGGTGGACTGCAAGTTTCAATCCCAAGGTTCTCCCCTCCTTGCCCCAGCTGCATGAGAAGGTCATTTCCTAACTCCTGTCCAATATTCTCATGAGTTCCCAGTTTTGTCCCAACTCTAAACCTGAATGGTCCAGCAAGCATTTCTATGAAATACCCCCGCAGTGGCCACTGGGAGGGGAGTGATTGCCTGTCTGGGTGCTCCCAGGCCTTTTGTCCTCTGAGACAGAGCTGCCTCCTTACATGCAGTCCTCTTCCACTGTGCAACTCTACCTCGATCTTAGCTGAGAAGATCAACAGACAGCAATTCAAGTAAAATCATGGTAAACTTCCCAAAACAAAACCAAACCAAACAAACAGTAAACGTTTTGGAGATCTTTCTGAGGACTTGATCTTTTATCACAGGGCAAAAACTTAAATGATTTTCAATCAACAACTTCATCTAAGAGGGATGTTGAGGCAAAATATCACACTCAGGCACTGAAGAAGGGCAGAATTCTTGGTTGCTTCCTCCCTTGTCAAGTCAGTGAGCCGATGCTTTCTCAAGATGTTCACACACGGCTTTGATACAGGATTTCAATGAGTCTTTTTCTGAGCCAGTGATACAAAAAATATACTGTGGAACAATGTCTTGTATCAATTCTGCAATTGGTTCTGCACATGTTTGAAGTCCTAGACCCCAAGAGGAGAGACCATCAAATTAGCCAAAGGTAATTTGTGAAGACTGGCCATGGGAAGTGGTGGCTAAAAGCCCTCTGGCCCCTGCTCTCTTAGCATTCCCACAGGAAGTCCTGTGCCGCACCGACTGCTGAGAAAGAACATCTCAGGGCTTGGATCCCTTGTTCAGAGTACACATGCTCTTTCAATCACTGAACGGTAGAGGAATGGCGGCTCCATGCTGTGTCCTGCAGAGCTCTCAGTCTCCGCACTTGAGGCCCTGGGCTGGTATAGATGTGAAGGCTCTTTAGTGTTATCACGTGGAGACAGACGATAGGAATCCTGCAAATGAGCAGAAAGGATGTGATGATTAAAGTTCTTCTGAAGCTATTACAAACTCAAGTCAGTGAGTTGCTTCTCTACTGGTTTTTATTGCCAACTGGAATTCTGCACTGTGTTGCAGCGTCGGGGGTGGGGGAGTGTGGAATTGTTCCCCCACTATCTGCTGCTTTGTCGACAGAAATTGATCAAAGCTATAACAAAAATATTTCTAGAAATCATTTGAATGCAATAGGAAAAACTCTGGGAACTGAGTCAGAAGAAAGTATCTTTTGGAGCGTGTTTTCCGGTCTAAAATTCTTTGCCAGAAATGTTCTTTAATGGAACCTCCAGACTGAGTAGGAAAACAGGGCATATTATTTTTTGAAAGGCATTAGCAGGAATGAAATAAATGCAGTCCAAACGCAATGCAAGACATGCAATTCGAGGATACTTTGCTTTAGGATAAACCCTCCAAAGGTAAACCTTTCAGCAAGGGTGTTACCTAAGTGCACTGACTGCAGGTTTGTATTACGGAAAATTAGGAGTGGTCGTTTCCGACGCGCTGGTTTCTCAGAGGCACGGTCACGGAGGTTCCAAAGAGGAGGCCTCGTCCGGCCCCAGGAAGTTTCCAGGTGCCGACTCCCTCCATTTCCCCATCTCCTGCCCGGCCCTCCCAGGGCGGGCTCTAGGCCTGCCCCGTGCGCCTGCGCACGAGCCTTGAGGCGGGCGGGGTTCCGGCGGGCGGGGTTCCCGCGTGCGGCCAGCAGCCGTCAACCGCTCCCAGCGGGGGTTGCCGGCGGTTCTGGGCGGGGAGACGCGAGCGTGTAGCGCGAGGGCAAAGGGCGGTTACCCAACGGCCTTCGCTTTCATGGCGTCCTCCTTGGTGTTACCTAAAACTAAAGCCAAGTGTGATTAGAAGGTAATCGCCTCCTGGTCATGTTCCCGCTGATCACCAGTGTCCGCGGGGCGACCCCACATTGTGGCCAGAGCAGGCCTGTGGCTGCGCTCCAGGCGGGAGAGTTCATAGCGTTCCTCCTGGGGGCCCTGCGGGACGCCCAGGCAGCACTCGTTTCCCTTGCTCACCTGGCCCCGAAGTGAGGTGGGAGGTTTAACAAGGCAGCGGGAACCCCAAAGTGTGACTCCGCCATGCCTCTCACATTCCAGGCAATGCAAAAGCTTAAGGAAAACCTCAGCAGTTGAAACCGTGATGCAGTTCAGCAGAGAAGTAGCTCGTGTCCTCGTAAAGTGAGTGAAGTTCTCACGGACGACCTCATTGAGTGAGTTGTGAAGCTCATTGACTTAATCAGAATGATCAGCCAGCATGCATGTTCCATTTGTCAATGATATGAGCAGCTGCAAAGTCGAAGAACAGGCCTTTAGTCATGGTCTGTTCACTTGGTAGCACAGTTGGTTGTGGATGCAAGAGTATGGCCAAAGTCAAGAAAAGCTTCTATGAGAATTGCTTATGTGGAATTTACAAATAAAAAGTAGTGGTATATTATTTGTAAATTGTAGGCTACACGTGTCTAAAATTTACTGCACACACGTGTGTATGTTGGGTGGTTGGGTTAGTGTATACTTGAGAATGTCAGGAAGTTTTGTTTTGGATTTTGGAGGGTGTGAGATTTGTGGGGTGGTTTTGTGTATGTGAAAATGTGTTTATATGAATTCTCAGTTTGGAATTTGATATGTATTTAATTGGTGAGAATCTGATATGTATTCACATGTGTGGGTTGGTGGTGTCTGTGTGGAGATTGCAGATTAAAGAAGGTCATAACTGGTCCAGGCGCGGTGGCTCACGCCTGTAATCCCAACACTTTGGAAGGCGGAGGCGGACAGATCACCTGAGGTCAGGAGTTCGAGACCAGCCTGGCCAACATGGTGAAATCCCCTCTCTACTAAAAATACAAAAATTAGCTGTGTGTGGTGGTGCATGCCTGTAATCCCAGCTACTCGGGAGGCTGAGGCAGAAGAATCACTTGAACCCAAGAGGCGGAAGTTGCAGTAAGCCCAGATCGTGCCACTGCACTCCAGCCTGGGTGACAGAGTGAGACTCCATTCCCCGCCCCCCAAAAAAGAAGATCATAACTGTTTTTGTGAAAGTATGTAGGAGAGAGAGTTTATATTTAGAGGATATGAGATGTAAGATATGTATACCAGAAGAATTGGGGTTAGATATTTGGAATTTGGGTTGTGAAGATGTCTTTTCCATGTATTTTCCCAGATGAATGTTGGGGATTTGTATTTGTCTAATGTTTGGCAGATTTGGAAGAATTACCTTGTGCACGTGGGCAATAATAGAGAAAGTGCTTGTCTCTATTTTTGTGGATGTACACTGTGTTTGGTTTACATGTTTGGGGAATGTAGGAAGACCATTTGAGTACTCAGGACATGTTGCATGGTGATGTGTGTTTCTTTTCATGATTTTCAGGGGGTGTGTATGGCTGTTTCAATGTGTGAGGGCAGATCCATGTCTATTGGGGGACTGGTAGGGTGAATGTGTGCAGTTGTGAGGTGGAGTTTGTATGATTCTGTGTCTTGGAAGATGGTGGAGTTATTTCTGTGTGAGCATTTGGAAGTGTGATTACATATGTTCAGGTATTGTGGGACTGTATGTGTATTTGGGGATATGAGGTGGCATGTTTGTATATTTGTGGTGTATTAGTTAATTGTGGGTATATTTAGGGCATGTGGAGAACTACAT